ACACAATCTAATGCCCAATTAAGCAACCCAAAAATCATGAATTACATGCCCAAACCCAAATATGTAGTTAAAAGCTCCAACTCAAGCTTTCATGGAGGAATTGCTTTCAAATCTTAGAAACTATGCAAGAAAACAAGTTTATGAACATGAATTACATGATTTGATGCCATGTATGTAAAGTTATAAGCCAATTTCCTTTAATTATTGCCATATGTGGTCATATATGCTTTCTAGGTCAAAATACAGCACGACACTATGTTCATGAGTTTATGTATGTCTTAGCTCGATATCAAGAAATTAATAGGAAATTCCTACCCTTGACTGTTGATCTTTGAAGCTTGTTTGATGTCTCCTTTGTTTTTCTTCTTCTCTTCTAAGTCTCTAGAACTCTCTCTCTCTCTCTCTCTCTCTCTCTCTCTCTCAGATTTTTTTCTTCTTTTTGTGTTGAGTCAACAACTAAGGCACGTATCTATATCTCTATATATTTGTTTAAATAATGAGCCAAACATGACTTAGCGAATCAGACGAAATTAATTTTCAATTAAACTTCCCAAATGGCTCTGAAAATTCCAATGCACCCAATTTCAGTTTCTGAACCCATTATGGTTGTCAATTTTAGTCCCGAAGTTGTAACCTCAACAGATATTTTCCCAATTCAAACAGATATTCTCAAATTAATTCATATTATTGCATAATTAAATAAAGATAATTGCGACACGTACTTGGGGCTGTTACAGTTTGAGTGGTTGAGGTTGAGGTTGAGGTTAAGGTTGAGGGAGGACACTGATAGACAAGTAGCTATAGTGGTTTCGGATTTAGGATTTGGAGTGAAAGATAAGGGTATTTTGGGGAGAAGGGGATGTGCACTAAGTGAAAATTAAAATTTAAAAATTATTTAGTGTGTATTAAGTAAGGATGTGTATAAAGAGGAATAAGTGTGTAGAAATAGTAGCTCTCTAATTCATCGTAATGAGAAAATGGGTATAAGAAGATTAAATTATGGTAGAAATGCAATTACCCAAAAATAAAATGTTGAGAACTACCCCAAAATTTCTTATAATATCACCAACCACTCTGGACTTTTAGGATAGAGTTGGGTTTTTCTCATATTGGGATCTCAATAGATATAATTTAAGGGTTTGTAAGGTCTAACACAAATCTCGTTTTGATGATCAGAATCGTTCATTTTGTAAGGATCGCAATTTATATTATTCATGATATTTTTTAAAATGATTTGATAATCGTAACTTTTTATTTTATTGCATTTGACTCTAAAAAAACAGAATGGTGGAGTATAAGGAATTTATCTATGGGTTTCTAATTTATTTTATTTTCATATAACCATGAGTGCGATTACAACCATAAAATAAATCCATATAAAAACCCGAAACAAGACATACATAACTAATCAAAATAAGAAAAATCAATCCATCATCTACATGCAAATACAAAATCAATCCAACATAAAAAAAAAATAAAAATAAATAAATAAATAAATAAATAGTTTAAAAAAACACGAATTAAACATAAATCAAAGGAAGTGGGTTTTGTACTCACAATATTTTATATAAGATCAAAGAATATCTGGCAAACTAATAGAGCCACCAAAACAAACCCTAATATTTCCTTTTCTTCCCTCTCCTCTTTCTCTCTATCTCTCGTTTTTTTTTGTTTTCTTTCTTCTCTTTTCTTTTGATCTCTCCAACCTAGTTGAATACTTCTATGTTACTATATATATAAGATTAAATATAGATACATTAAATTTATTAATTACAACATTAAATATCCCACTAAATCTCATGTAACCACCCAATTAATAAGTACAACATTCAATTCATTAAATATCACATTAAATTTCATGTAACCACCCAATTAATAATTACAACATTAAATCCATTAAATATCACATTAAATCTCATGTAACCCCCTAATTAATAAAGCCAACAATAAAATAAGATAATCATAACCATAATAAAATAATGACTTAAGAAAATTAGGGTCGCTACAAAACTTCATTTCCAAGTATTTAAAGGCCAAAAACTTATAAAAACATGTTGAATGCAACATATCTAGTTTACACAAAATCATAACTTTAAAACACAATCTAATGCCCAATTAAGCAACCCAAAAATCATGAATTACATGCCCAAACCCAAATATGTAGTTAAAAGCTCCAACTCAAGCTTTCATGGAGGAATTGCTTTCAAATCTTAGAAACTATGCAAGAAAACAAGTTTATGAACATGAATTACATGATTTGATGCCATGTATGTAAAGTTATAAGCCAATTTCCTTCAATTATTGCCATATGTGCTCATATATGCTTTCTAAGTCAAAATACAGCACGACACTATGTTCATGAGTTTATGTATGTCTTAGCTCCATATCAAGAAATTAATAGGAAATTCCTACCCTTGACTGTTGATCTTTGAAGCTTGTTTGATGTCTCCTTTGCTTTTCTTCTTCTCTTCTAAGTCTCTAGAACTCTCTCTCTCTCTCTCTCTCTCTCAGATTTTTTTCTTCTTTTTGTGTTGAGTCAACAACTAAGGCACGTATCTATATCTCTATATATTTGTTTAAATAATGAGCCAAACATGACTTAGCGAATCAGACGAAATTAATTTTCAATTAAACTTCCCAAATGGCTCTGAAAATTCCCATTAGCATATCAATGTACCCAATTTCAGTTTCTGAACCCATTATGGTTGTCAATTTTAGTCCCGAAGTTGTAAGCTCAACAGATATTTTCCCAATTCAAACAGATATTCTCAAATTAATTCATATTATTGCATAATTAAATAAAGATAATTGCGACACGTACTTGGGGCTGTTACAGTTTGAGTGGTTGAGGTTGAGGTTGAGGTTAAGGTTGAGGGAGGACACTGATAGACAAGTAGCTATAGTGGTTTCGGATTTAGGATTTGGAGTGAAAGATAAGGGTATTTTGGGGAGAAGGGGATGTGCACTAAGTGAAAATTAAAATTTAAAAATTATTTAGTGTGTATTAAGTAAGGATGTGTATAAAGAGGAATAAGTGTGTAGAAATAGTAGCTCTCTAATTCATCGTAATGAGAAAATGGGTATAAGAAGATTAAATTATGGTAGAAATGCAATTACCCAAAAATAAAATGTTGAGAACTACCCCAAAATTTCTTATAATATCACCAACCACTCTGGACTTTTAGGATAGAGTTGGGTTTTTCTCATATTGGGATCTCAATAGATATAATTTAAGGGTTTGTAAGGTCTAACACAAATCTCGTTTTGATGATCAGAATCGTTCATTTTGTAAGGATCGCAATTTATATTATTCATGATATTTTTTAAAATGATTTGATAATCGTAACTTTTTATTTTATTGCATTTGACTCTAAAAAAACAGATGATCTATTTTAAATATATATGTGTCGTCTATTTTTTTGAAGATAAATTTAATAAAATGAAAAAGTTATAATTGTTGGATAGAATTAAATTTTTTTATAGATAATATACCTTATGAACTTTCCAGAATGAATAATTCAAATCATCGAAACAAAATCTGTGTTAATCCCTACGGACCCCTTACATTTTGGGACTATTTGTTACAGTTTTTGGGGATAATTATACTTTATTTTGATTTGAGAATCTGTACCATACTATTTAGTACAACTTCTATTTATAATTTATTAGGCAAAATTAACTTAAAACAAGCTCACCAAACAGGGCCTCTGTCATCTTCAAATCCAACATGAGAGAAGTCCAGCATGGGGATGGCAATTGATAACCTAACCTATGGGTATCCTTGGAGACTCAATCCATATACATGGGTTTTTCTCCATTTTTTTATTGTTCGTCAAGTTGGGTAAGTGATATTCTTTAAATCTCTACCGGGGATGGGTACCCACTAATTTCCCCATATAGTTTTTTTTTTATTTTTAGGTGCATTGAAAATTAATTTCTCCATATGTTATCCCACTACTTTGTTTACAACTAGAGTTCTAATTCTCACTGTCTCTCATCCTCTCACTACAATAACGACGATTTGTGATGGCGACAATCTAACTGCGACAAGACTATGATTATCGATAAAAAACGCACGATTAATCATAATCAAAACATGAAAATTAAAGACACAAATGTACAAATTTTCAATTAAGGTGATCACTAGTTAAGATGAAAATTGAAAAATTCAATCTAAGGTTATCATTAAATCAGAGAGAAATTCAATAAAACAATTGCAGGAGATATTGAAATAAGAAAATTCATTTTATAAATGTAAATAAAAATTAAAAAAAAGAAAGAAAGAAGAAGATGAAAATGAGAGCAACAACTCACATTCAGATTATCGATGATCAATTTATAGAGAGGAGAATAAGATACATAAAATTTAAAAAAATTAAAAAAGAAGATGGAATTTTTTTGTGGGAATAGAATTTTTCTAAATAAATTTAAAAAATTCTAAATATATATAAAATTTGGTAAAAATAATTTCAATTAAGGTGATCACTAGTTAAGATGAAAATTGGGAAATTCAATCTAAGGTTATCATCAAATCAGAGAGAAATTCAATAAAACAATTGCAGGAGATATTGAAATAAGAAAATTCATTTTATAAATATAAATAAAAATTAAAAAAAAAAGAAAGAAGAAGATAAAAATGAGAGCAACAACTCACATTCAGATTATCGATGATCAATTTATAGAGAGGAGAATAAGATACATAAAATTTAAAAAAATTAAAAAAGAAGATGGAATTTTTTTGTGGGAATAGAATTTTTCTAAATAAATTTAAAAAATTCTAAATATATATAAAATTTGGTAAAAATAATATGACTACATTAACTAATATGCAAATGATATTATTGTTAAGTCAAATAAAATAAAATAAATTTGAATATATATTTAATTTTGATTGTAAATTTTAAAAAAATAAAGGTAAAGTTAAATTAGAAAAAATCCAAACCCGATAAAGAGGATAGTCCGAATTGGGAAATGAAAATAAATAATTATGAAGAAATGGGAATTATTCAACCCCATTAATCCCTATTGCCATCCTGATCCCGCGTTTTAGGATAATTCACAGAATCCAGAGAATAGTTTTTCAGACAGATAAAGCAAAAATGGGAACAATAACAGGGCCATGGAAGCAGTTGCTCCTCAACGCCTTGGATTCCAATTCCGCCCTCAAGCACTCTTCTTTCTTCCAGCTTGTACATTTCTATACATTCACACACATATATATATATATATATATATCTATATATATATATATACATACCCACCGTTCTATTTTAATCGATTCGTTTGCTTTTGTTTTTCCCAAATCGTTTCTAATCAATCCTCTGTTGTGGGTTTTCAGGCAACAATCGGATCTAATGGAAGACCCTCCAATCGCACTGTCGTTTTCAGGTCTGTGTCTCTCTGTGTGAAGTCTTGAATTTTTTTATTGAAATTTGTCAAAACGATGTTTTTATTGTGTGCAGAGGGTTTGAAGAGAACAGTGACAAGATGCGAATCAACACTGATTGCCGAACTCACAAGGTTGTTTCTCTTTTTGATTATTTGTTTTTGGGTTTGAATTTTTATTGATGGATTAGTAACAGATTTTGTATATAGATGTTTAAGCTAAATTTTTTATTAATAGTTAGTATAGAATATGCGTGTGTTCAAATTGTGAGATGGGTTTTTATATTTGGTTAAACATCATTGGTTAGAGTTGATTTTTCTACTTAAAAAATGCAGATTGATGATCTCAAGCATTGCCCATTTGCTGAGGTAATTCATCTTTATTGAGGTATTATTGCTCTTCCATGTAATCTTTTTGTGTTTATGTATTTATTTATCTTCTCACTGGTGAATTGCGTCAAGTAGAATTGCTGAGACTTGCAAATTTATTCAAAGTTTGATTTTTTGTGGTTTAGATATGTTGGTATTTTACTGATTCATGGGAGCAATTCCGGATTAATGGAAGAATTGATGTGGTTGATGGGTTATGTCTTGACCCCCTCAAGCTTCAGGTGCCTTTTGTTCCAGTTTCCAAGCACACTGCAAATGCCATTTCTTATTTGTTTGTTATATATTTTTGATTGCTGAACTAATTGTTAACTTGGATTATCACATTCATCATGATTGAAAATTCTAATATTAATCTCTTGATGTAGACATAAAATGTGTATAGAAATATGAAAAAATTGTGTACAAACGTGTAAAATGTATGAGAATATGTAGGTGTTGTCATTTGATCAGCCTTGCGAAATCTCAATAACTACATGGCAAAGGAACTTTTGTTGTTTATGTAGGTGGCATTGGGACAATGGAACCTTTCTTTTCTTCCTTAGCTCCCCTTAGGATAAGAGAGAAATAGCAAAGGTACTTCAGCAATATTGAAAATCAACACAAGGCTCAAAAATGATTTCTTAATATAATGATGTAATAAAATACAAATATATTGTAACACAAAAATGTGGAATTTGTTATTATTTATATGTTGTGTCTTGATTTTGAAAATTCTTTTGTTGACATGTACATATCCATGTCCTTGTTCTTATGTTGTATTTGTGCTTCTTATCTTACGAATATTTGCATTTTCTGTTATACAATCATACCTCAAAGACTAGAAAATAATTTAGTAGAGACTATAAATTTCTTATCATAGAACCTCAAGGCGAAGCATAGTTTATGTATAAGAAACTCGGATAGCCGTCCTTTTCAGCTGTCTGTGTAGATGTAATACAGTATAATTCTTTTTTTGGGGGGTTAATATGCTTGTACCTCCAGCTGCTGAAGTAGTATCTAAGCCAGATTGTCTTGTGAGGTTACCATCACTCATACTTGGACAAGAGAAATTTTGGTGCTTATAAATGTATCTTTGCTATTCCATAATGACACTATCTACATGCTACAATAATGATTTTGCTATTGTTAGTAGCTTTCACTAATCTTTCATTAAGACAACATATGATTTTGATTCTAAAAACATATAATGCAGCAAAGAGAGAAAGCTTGGTTTGCTAGTTCTGTAAAATCAAGACTGCAGTACTTGGGGCCCAATCCCGGGCTTCCCTCTCTTGGTGAACAATCGTCCTCAGAGTCCTCTCTAGATCCTTCTGCTGGCCCAGTTGATGCGTTTTGTTTGCTCGTACTAGATCCTGACCAGGTCGAGGTCTTCTCTGCTCTTGTATTTGTTTCCTGCTATTTTCTTTTTCTTTTTCTCCTCTCTTTAAGCTGCTAAATTTGTTTCAACCACAAATTTTATGGATTTGTCTTTATGTCTAGGTTGATTACTTGAATTTGAAGATTAATGAGAGGCTAACCTTTTCATCCAGACAGAACATCAATGGTGAGAAGTTTTGGAGCTCGGAAAGAATTAACCCGTAATTTCTTTCTTATAATATTAAGATTCTAAGATTGCAATTACATGCCATTGTATTCACTAAATTTAGATGATTTGATTGTCATGAAATCTATAATGTTTTCCACAATTAAGAAAAAAAACCATTTTCTTGAATAGAAGAGGAATGTATTTGTGCATGCTTGACTCTGCTACGAGTCATTACTTTACTCTAATCATATATTTGGTTTTGTTTTCATTTTTTATTTTCATTTTTTGGAAAACAAATAAATCTTGTTTAGCGAATTGTTTGGACAAAATTTTCTGAAAGCAACGCCTTTTAAGAAAACATAAGGAAAAAAAAAATGTTGTTTTTTATGCCAAAAAAAATGAAAACATTAAGAAATCTATTGGCATTTTTGAGTTTTTCATTGTTTTTATTTCCGAAAACATGAAAAACAAAAACACAGCGAAATATTTGGAGGTCAAAATATATGATTGTTTAGAATGTTATTATTGTACCAAAAGTAGTAATTACCTCTGTAAGACCTTTGAGGTAATGCATAGGGAATGTATGTGAGCCTCCCATGCAAAGCATCTTGCCCATATGAGTATTTCAACAAATGTCCAGATGAAACTAGAAAGTTGGAGGAAAGCCAATTGGAGAACTCCAAAAAACAAACTTGTATATACACACACATACACACACACACATATATATATATATATACATTTGAAGTGAGGAAACTTGTATAGTTCCCACCTAAATTTGTGAAATACTCATTTGAGTAGGGCTGAGCAAGAAATCTGTATAATCTGTAATCCGATCCGGTCCAGTCCAATCCGGTAGGATTAGATTGGTTTTTTGAATCCGTGGTTCGGTTCTGAATTAGAAATTTAAAAATCCTCAGGTCACGAATCGGTTCTAAATTGAACCTCATGGTTATGGATTGGAACCTATCCGAACCGTATACATTTAGTCTATATTTATACCATATACCTTCCCACATAATATCATTTCTTGTTTCATATAGAAGCTAAACACCAACCTGATTCACCTCACACGCCACTCAGCTCACTTACTCACTACTGCCTCTCACACTCTCATCTCTCTCTCTCGATACTCTTTCTCTTTTCTTTTTCTCAGACACTTTCCGATCATCCATCTTAGATCTTCAACCTCACACGCCGCTCACTTACTACCTCTCATACTCTCATCTATCTTTCTTGGTACTCTTTCTCTCTCTCTCTCTTCTCTTTCTCAAACACTCTCAGATCCTCTATCTTTGATCATCATCCATCTCAGATCTGTAGTTGTAGCTCTCTCTATTTTGGTGAGTTCCTCTCGCCTCTCTCTCTCTCTCTATATATATATATTATATTTTGTTTTTGTGAGAATCATGTTTTGTTTGCTGATTTTTCCAACTCCAAATTTGTCACATTTGATGTCCTGGATGAAATGTTTGATGTCTTTGATGATCTGTTTGGTGATTTTTCCTTGTGCTTTTATGTTTTTGATGATGAATAACATTTTTTATCTGTTTGATTGCTCTGTTTTTTAAGCCATATTATTATTTGATAACTTTTATATTTTATTTTTGTATGAATCATGTTCTATTTGCTGATCTTTCGAGCCCCAGATTTGTCATATTTGATGAATGTTCTGTTCTATTTTGTTTTTAAGCCATATTATTATTTTGTCACATTTGTTGAATGTTCTGTTCTATTTTATCACATTTAATGCAATCCAATACTTTGCTTTGTGTAATGTATATCTAGTTTTAGGAGAACTTTGCTATGGTTATGTTTTTTAGAAATTAAAATGTTCTATATTTTTTTATTATTTAAATATATAAATTTGTGATCCTAAACTGATTCAATTCGTGTTTAAATGGATTGGTTCAGATTGGTTTCACGATTTAGACGAATTGGATTGGTTCTAATTTTTCAGGAACCGTAGATAATGGATTAGTCTTGATTTTATCTCAATCCGGACCATGCTCACCCCTTACATTTGAGCGAGAGGCCTTAGTAAGGGAGGGATTGAAGCTTTTTTTTCATTTAGGTTAGGGTAAAGTAAGAAAAGAGTGAATTGTATATATATGAAAAATATTAGGTATTCTAAATGTTTTATCAAATGTCTCATATAGATGTATAATTCAGACCATGTGAATCCCATATAGATTCCACACTTGAAATGTTTGATGAAATATTTGAAATTCCTTATATGGATTTTTGTATCATATCTACAGAAGACTATTATATTATAGGGTAAATTGCACTGACACATCTGAGATTTATATTTATTACAGTTTCTCCCTCACCTTTTGAAAATTACATTTCTCCCATGAGGTTTAAAGTTTCATTACAAATTTCTCCCTCAGCAATTTAATTTTTTTAAATACCAATTTTGTCCTTATTAGGTAAATTACATTAACACCTCTCACATTTTAGAAATTACAATCCTCTCCTTAAGGTTTAAAGTAGCATTACCACCTCTCGGTTAGTATTAGTTGGAAAAAAAAATTCATTGAAAATAAATTTCATTGGAAAAAAAATTAATTGAAAAAAAAATTTATTAGTAAATTTTTTTAATTTCTGTTTAAAAACCAACATAAGCTCATTTTTTTGAATTTACGTTTTTTTTTCAAATTTACAAACTGAAATAACCATTTATAAACCAAAAAAATTATCAAACAAGTTTTTTTATGGAAGTTTTTAAAATTTTTGTAAATATAAATTGAATATTAAAAACGAAATGGGTGTCGTTTGGTAACACTTATGTTTTCAGTTTTTTGTTTATATTTACAAAAATTTTAAAAACTCAAATAAAAACTTGTTTGGTAAATTTTTGATTTATAAATCAGTGGTCTCAGTTTATAAATTTTGTCAAAAAATGTAAACTCAAAAAACATGTTTCCGTGTTGAGTTTTGAGTTTTTTTTTTTACCACCCAACACTAGCCACCACCTGCTACTATTTTCTACCACCACCCACCACCCACCATCACTTGCCACCACCACTTACCACCCACCTGCCACCACCACCCACTCGCTACCACCCGCCACCGTCACCCACCCATCCACCACCACCCGTCATTCGCCACCCACCTACCACCACCACCCGCCGCCACCACAACCACTACCCACTCGCTACCATCCACCACCCGCCACCGTCACTCACCCACCCACCACCACCTGCTACCCACCACCCACCGTCACCACTTTCCACCACCGTCTCCCGACGCCATTTGCCACCACTTGTCATTTTTCACTCTTTTTTATATTTTTAAATTTTTTTAAACATTTTGTCAATTACCAAACGCGTTTGTAATTTATGTTTTTCTAAAAATAAACAAAAATCAGTTTGTAAAATTTTTGTAAATATAAACTGAAAACGTAAACGTTACCAAACCAAACAGGCTTCCGATAATAAAAATGTCGTAAAATTAACAAATAATTAAATAAGTTACCAACATAAGAAATGATTTATCAAAACATTCTTAGGTTATGTATGATTTGATTTTTAGAATTTTTTTAAAAATTAAAAATTAATTTGGTTAAGAAATAAAAAATAAAAAAATAATTATCATTTTTATATAATTTTTATCTTTTGAGTGGTTAGAAATAATTTTTTACAAATTAAATTGAAACAGCCACACGTATGTATATAACCTGCCTAAAAGTTAAAATGATAATTATTTTTTAGTTTTTATTTCTTAACCAAATTAATATTTAATTTTTAAATTTTTTTTCTAAAAATCAAACCATACATAGCTTAAGAATATTTTAATAAGTCATTTTTTACGTTGGTAACTTATTTAATTATTTGTTAATTTTTTAACATTTTTACCATTTGAGAACTGTTTGGTTAACTATTTCGTTTTCAATTTTCAATTTATATTTACAAAAATTTTAAAAACTATCATAAAAACTTGTTCGATAATTTTTTTAGTTTATAAATAGTTTGTCTCCTTTGTAAATTTGAGAAAAAAAAAATAAAAATTCAAAAAATGAGTTTACGTTGGTTTTTAAACAAAAATTTAAAAATTTTACCAACAAATTTTTTTTTTAATTAATTTGTTTTTTCAACTAATACTAACCGAAGGGGCAATTGGTAATGCTATTTTAAACATTAGGGAAGAGATTGTAATTTATAAAATGTAAAGGGTGTCAATATAATTCACCCAATGAGGACAAAATTGATATTTTAAAAAATTAAATTGTTGAGAAAAAAATCTACCATAAAACTTTAAATCTTAGGAGAAAATGTAATTTTTAAAAAATAAGAGAAAGAATTATAATAAATATAAATCTCAAGGATGTTAATGTAATTTACTCTATATTATATGTTATTACCACGAGAGACGGTTGTACCAACCTCGTGTTAAGGACTTTTCTTTGGGTAAGTAGCATGTGTTAGAGGACTGTTGGGGTGTTAGAGGATTGTTGGGCTGTTAGCTACGTGTGTATTCTTTTTATCATGGCTTCGTTTAGGCGGTGGGTTGATTTTTTAGTTTTTTGATTTTTTTGATGATTTTAATTTAAGATTAAAAATTTTGATTTGGAAAAGATTTTTAATTTTTTTGTGAGATAAAGAATGTAATAATTATAATTTGATGTGATATTTTGTCTTATTGTGTTAAAAAACTTATTTTATTTTTTGTGACTATTTTAACTAAAAAAAATCACAAAACCTTCTTCCCAAACCTTCTTCCCTTTGTTTTGTTAGTTTGTCTTTTCAATAATATTGAGTCCCCCGGTTCTACCCACCTAGGTGTGTTTCGTTGCTGCGGGAGAGTTTGGTGTGTTTTTGTTTTGTCTTCAGTTTGTCCTCATGTGTTTCAACCTTGCCGTAATATCTGATTCAGCAGGGAGGTATTTCACTCGAGCGCTCTTTGGCGAGTAGGAGTTTGAGGGGTGCGCTTTTTGGGTGGAAACAAGGGTATCGTAGGCGTTCCAGTTTCTGTCCGGTTGTCACTCGAGCGCTCCTCCTCGAGTGAGAGTTTGAGGGGTGAAGTTCTACCATTTGTTTGGAGGTGTCCCAGCGGGTGGTCGATGTTCGGTGGGTGTGCGGATCCGCGGCGTGAGATTGAAGACCTGTTGGTTATGGAGTTTGGCAGAGGGTATTGGGTGTGAGTTAGAAGATGATGAGAGGAGAAGTAGCAGCATGGAGTGGGCACTGGGCGTTTGGCAGAGGGTATTGGGTGGCGTGAGATTGAAGACTTGTTGGTTATGGAGTGTGGCAGAGGGTATTGGGTGTGAGATTGAAGATGAGGAGAGGAGTAGTAGTAGCTTGGAGTGGGCACTGGGAGTTTGGCAGAGGGTATTGGGTGTGAGGACCTGATGAAGCAGTGGAGTTGATGAAGCAGAGGCATGGGAAGGTGAGGTTTTCATGCGGCAGTAGAGTTGATGCAGCAGTGGAGCTGAAGTTTTCTTCCCGGTGGTGGCACTGGTGTTTTCTCGGCCGGAGTGGGTGTTGGGAGTTTATTCTAATTGGTTGACATATCATTGAGTTTGAAAATTAAGTCTAATTTTTAGGTTTAAATAGCAATACTCTATTTTTATATATTAGTACAAATAGAAGTATAGATATATATATATACATATTTCATACCATAGTTATTGAAACTAAAAATAGTAATTCTATCATTACATGTTTTGAGATCACAAAATTTAACAAAATAATACTAATAAATTATTGACAATGATTTAGAGGATTTAAAAATTAACTTAATTTATGTAAATTAAATTTTAGACTCATATATATATTTTAAGTGTTAAAAAATTCAAAAAAAAATGAGAAAATTAAATTGAGATTTCTATGCTCAAAAGGCACAATGTTTTTACTAATATTATATAATATAATAATATATATGCGTAATTTAGACATTACTAATAGGATAAATTACAATGATATCCTTTAATACAGATCTCCTCACATTTGAAAAATTACATTCCACACCTTGAGGTTTGTAATTTCATTACAAATTGTTCCTTGAATTGTTGATGCCATGTTTTAAAATTTTGCTAAATGACCATCTTGTCATTTTTCTTACCATTTCTTCTTCTTATCAACAAGACGACATTCAATAACTTTTATCATTAAATTCTACATGAACATATTCTTATTGAGTAATGATATATAAATATAAATTTTATATAGAATTTTCAAATACAATGATATAGTTTAATGGTAACCTTTCATTTTAAAACAAAAAAATCCATAAACATGATTTATATTTACAACAATATCACTATCATAACATTTTTATGATATTTTTTGTATAAATTTTTATATATGAATATAAATTTTCATTTTTATTTCCACCATTATATCTAGATTAGATTGATCTAATCTAGATATATTTAAAAAAATATAAAATTTGTACAAAAATTTTTTTAAAAAAATAATCCATTGAATACAACAAAATAAGATAGTATATTGAATTTTATTTTTTATATTTTTTTTTGTATTTAGTAAATTGAAAAAAAAAATCACAAAATATTATACTTCTTAAGTATATGTAGATTAGGTGTATCTAAAAAATTAAAAAATTACTTAAAATATTAAAAAATTCAAGAAAAAGAAAAAAAAGAAAACTCAATTATTTGTGTGAGTTAAATCAAAGAAGATTGTTATTTATCTTAAAATGACATGAACAAAATATCTATATTATTTTATTATTTTATATATATAAGGGTTAAGAGATAAATATATCATTTTAATCTGATAAGAGGTAAGTATAATTTTTCAAAGGGCAAATTACATATACACCCCTCGAGGTTTGGCTAAATTACAAATACCCCCTGAGGTTTGAGAAATTACGAATTCCCCCCTGAATGCTATATTTGCATAAGAAATTAGGGGGTAATTTGTTATGAAATATAAACCTCAGGGGGTAAATTGTTATGAAAATACAAACCTCAGGGGGTGGGATGTAATTTCCGAAACCTCAGGGGATATCTGTAATTTAACCAAATCTCGAGAGGTGTATATGTAATTTGCCCTAAATTTTTTATTAGAAATGAGAGAGAGAGAGAGTGTGAGTGAGTGTGAGTGGTGAGACATGTGCGTGTGTCAGTGAATTAATTGAATATATATATATTTTTAATCTAATTTCAGTTGCAGATTTTTATTGGAGCGACGTGGTCCAATCTAGACCATCACCCGGAGGGAAGGTTGGAGAGGAGCGCTAAGGCCTTGTTTGGTTTAGTTTTGGGAAAA